AATTCTTCTATTGCTAAGAGAGAAAAAAAAATATAGCAAAAGCATATAACATATAACATTTATCCTAATACTTGCGAAAAAGCCAACATCACAATATTAATTCACAACACCCAGCAAATGTCTTCGTGGGCAGCTGGGACAGCATTGCCCAGACTCCTCTCCATTGTCACAACAGAGCCACCTCTGAGTTCCCGCCCCACAGTTACGGGACGCTTTCATCCTATGGCTGCCCTACACTGCACAACGCGTCTCAATTAGTGAGTGCCACCACTATGGCTGCTCTGCAAAGCCAGTCCCACATGTGCTGCCCTCCCAGGCCCGGAGACGCTCTTGCTGCCTACAGCAAAGCACCTGGGGGGCCACTGATCTGTCCCCTGCAGGTTGGAAAAGCCTGGGCTCTTACAGCTGGGACAGGGCAATTCACCAGTGAGGGAGCTGAGGTGTGAGGTCCCAGGTGGGGTTTTACAGCACCCACCAGGAGATGCTCCCACCTCTGTGATCAGCTGTCAGGGAGCCCGCAGGGGCAGACATCCATGAGCTTCAGCGTTCCCTTGTCCCCTTCCCCTTCTACGAGGGACTGCTGGACTGCTGGGTGTTGCAAACAGCACGGCATCCTGCCCGGAGCAACAGCACCCACCACGGGCCACTGGTGCTGGGATTAGAGAAGGCAACAAATGAAAACATGGGACTGATCATGTCCCATGGAACACAGGAAATACTCCCAAGCTGATCAGCCTGATTCAGGGGGATACAGTCCCTCCAGCAGGATCTGTTGCCCCAGGTGGAAGTGTGGCCCATACCCTTCCTTCCTGTTGAATCCACCCCTCCTACTCCAAGAGCTCTTGAGGGTGAGCTGTTATTGTCTGCCTGAAGGTTATTTTCAGCATCTTTATGCTGCTCACCTGCATCTATTCTAGATGAAATCCTCAGGAAATCCTTATTATTTATCCACTTCAACCTTCTTCCTTCCCCAGCCATGAATTGAGAGCTCTGCTGGGAGTAGTTTTCTTCTCTCAGCAGACAACACTTATTGGTACTGTGCTTCCCACAGGTTCTTCCTGGCACTTGTACCATGAAAAGGACAGTGGATGCTCCTTTGAGCACCTTTCTGCTAACCCAGCTGCAGAGACTTTTACCTGGCTGAGTGCCCCAGTCTAGCTGTGAGGATCCCATCCACCTGTGCTAAGGGTGGGACTCCCACAGAACTCACACATTAGCCCAGAAAACCAAGGATATTCAGGAGCCAAAGTACAGACTAAAGCCTCCACATTCCTCTTGGAGGAGGATCACTGTACCAGCTTTTGGGAAGGCTCTGCTTCCACCACTGCCAGGTCATGGAACACAGGCAGAAAGGCTAATGACATCAAATGAATCATGATGTGAAAGGCCTTGAGCAGCTGGAGCGTGTCCAGAGAAGAGAATGGGGAAGGGTCTGGAGCACAAGTCTGATGGGAATAGGAATATAGGAATAGTTGAGATGTTGTCTCACATGTCCTGTATTCATCCTGCCTGTACTTAACCTGGCAAATGAGGATGAGTGAGGGAGGAGAGCTGAGCTGGAGCAAGATCCAAGCAGCAGAAGTCAGTTTGCAGGTCTGAGAGCTGAACTTTGCTTTGCTCCTTCTCAGCAACTGCAGGTTGCACTGACAGCACAGCATCCTGTGGTTTGTCTAAACACCTGAGCTATACACCAGGAACTGGACACGAGTGACTTTGGAGCTCTCATGCTAAGGTCACATGGGAACATCCATGTTAAGGTTGTTTTTGATTGGTTTGTTCGTTTTGATTATACGGAATGGACTGAGTTCAGACTGCAGTTTAGAGGAGGGGATTCTCTCTCTCTACTCTGCCCTCATCTCTGTGAGATCCCACCTGTAGAGCTGCCTTCAGCTCTGGGGTCCTCAGCACAAGAAGCATGTGCCCCAGTCCAAACAGGTCCAGAGACCATGGAGATGCTTCAAGGGCTGGAGCCCCTCTGCTCTGGAGACAGGTTGAGGGAGCTGGGGCTGCTCAGCCTGGGGAAGAGAAGGCTCCAGGAAGACCTTAAAGCCCCTTCCAGTGCCTAAAGGGGGAATATAAAAGAGAGGCAGGGTGACTGTTTACATGGGCAAACAGTGACAGGACAAAGGGAATGTTTTTAAACTAAGCCAGGAAAGATTTAGATTGGGTATTAGGAGGAAATTCCTCCCTGAGTGTGGTGAGGCCCCAGCACAGGTTGCCCAGAGAAGCCGTGGTTGCCTCATCTCTGGAAGATTCAGATTGGATGGGGCTAGGAGCAACCACATCCCATGTGGCAGGATCCTACTGGGTCATGAAATGAGATGAGCTTTAATGTCCTTTCAAACTCAAACCCTTCTCTGTTCTGTGATTCTACACCCTGGCACTGCTGCTGCAAACAGCTAATAGCATTTTGCATCACAGACAAGGCTTTCTTGTGAGCAGGTACCCTCAGGGATCTCTCGTTGATGCCTGTGAAATGACCCTTTTTGAACTCAGAGGAGCTTCTGGAATTCACCAGGTTTCCTTGTACGTGAGCTGGTGCAAGGATTTATGTTTCTTACTGGAATGGTCAGTCTGAGCAGCTGAACAGGACCTGACCCTTGAGCTGCAAGAACTCCTGTTCAGCATGCAGGCCTCCCTGAAGGCAACACTTGCTGGGGACCTGTTATGTGGGCTCTTTGTTGAGCAATGCCTTCCCTCCAGAGGGGTATTTGAACTTCATCACCCATCCAAGGGCTTTAAATCAACCAAACAGACTATCTGAGCCGCCCCAGGGAAATGCTGGCTCATCTGGGCTTCACTCTCACCCTCCAGCATCCAAACCCTGATGTTCCTCCAGCAGGTTAGGCCCAACTGGTGAGACAGAACAAACAAAGGAATAGAAAAATATAAAAAAGATAGGAAAATCATATCCACTTAGCTCCCAGACTGCACTTTCAGGAACCTTCCTTCTGGCAAAGGTGTGCTGTGACATTAACTTGACCACTCTGCTTAAAAGACTACCAAGGACTCCTGCTTTCAGCTGAGGTATCTGAACTGGTCATACTGGCACAGTCCTGCATTCCTGCAGGACTGTAACTCAATACTGCCTATACCAGGCAGTCCATACCGTGCAGCAGCCTGCCTTTGGGAGCAGGATCCAAGTAATGGCTCCCGCTCAGAGCCAGGTGTGCCATGAACAGACCCTTGGAGAGGGTAGGCAGCAACAGCATGAAGGCACTGCTTGGGCAGAGACAGGTTTTAAACAACAGGTTTTCCAAGATTTTTCCAAACAAGAGCTGTGGGTTTCCTGGGAACACCATTCAGTGGAGATGCCCACAGCTTGAGGCCAGAAGCTAAACAGGAGCAGAAGGAAGGGAGTCAGGGAGATGCTCCAAGGGCTGGAGTCCCTCTGCTCTGGAGACAGGCTGGGAGAGCTGGGGGTGTTCACCTGGAGAAAAGAAGGATCCAGGGAAAACTTAGAGCCTTTTCCAGTGCCTTAAAGGGGCTCCAAGAGAGCTGGAGAGTGACTTAGGACAAGGGCCTGGAGTGACAGGACAAGGGGAAATGGGTTTAAGCTGAAAAAGGGTGAATAGGGATGGGGTATTAGGAAGAAATTATTGGTTGTGAGGTGGGGAGGCCCTGGCACAGGTTGCCCAGGGAAACTATGGCTGCCCCTGGATCCCTGGAAGTGTTCAAGGCCAGATGGGATGGGGCTTAGAGCAACCAAATGTAAGCGGTGATTTGGTCCATCCTTCCTCAGACTTACTCCAAAAGATCACACTGCACCTGAATGCTCCACCAGCAGCTAAGCCAAGACAGAACTGTCCTGGGGGGCACCAGGCCCAGCACTGCTGGTGGGCCAGGGAGGGGATTTTCCTGCTCTCCTCTGCACTGGGGTGGCCTCACCTCAAGTCCTGTGTGCAATATAAAAAAGACATTAAGCCATTGGAGAGCACCTAAAGGAGGTGACAAGGATGGGGAAGGGTCTGGAGGAGCCATATGAGGAGCATCTGAGGGCATTTGGTGTGTTGAGAGTGAAGGAGACCTCCTTGACCTCTTCAATGTGCTTCCAAGCGGCAGCACAGGGGCAGCTCAGGGTTTGGATAGCTAACTTCTAGGTGCCTAAGTTTGCACACAGGAATTCTCCTCCCATGTATGTCTTGCATTAGACAAATAAAAGGTTTAGGCTCATCTCTTAAAAGCATTTGCAGGCTGTTCACTGTTGAAGACTGTCAGCCCTGAGCTGCACATCTACACTCACAACTCTTTCAGTCTCAATGCCATGGCTTGTTGGAGTACAGGCCAGGGGCCAGCTAATGGAAGGGAGTTGGTGCATGGTTAATTAATTGAGGTCATTTTAGGCATTTTACTTTTGCTCCTACCTTCAGTGCTCCAAACCACACCCCTCTTCCAGGGCACCTACATTAAATGACTGCAGTTAGGTAGTGTAAACATGGCTGAAGCCACTTCTGCTCACCATAAGATGCTGGCAGGGATACAGCTCCAGATCTGGTAATACTTGGAGCAGAGTACAAGAGAACACAGTGATCAAAAGTTCCTCACAGTTAAACAAATTCCTATTTGCCAAGGGCTGGGATGCTGTCACTGTGGAGCAGACTGCTGACATGGGAACTAGCAGGGTACACTGGTGGGCATGACCAGCTGTGAGGATGAAACCAGGCTGATTTTGCTTATAGTAAGAGGTCACTTGCTTGTTTATGTTTATTTTCTCCTGCTGCTCTTAATTTAACTAGCCTTTTGGAGGTTTCTAAAGCACACTACTAAGTCCTATTTAACAACCAGAGTCAAAGACAGGAGCACTGAAATGTTCCCCAGATTTGACATGGCAGACATGGCACAGCTGGAAAAGAATAAATAGGTAGTGCCATAAGTGGTGGCACCATAAGCAGGTGGCAAAACTTAAGGTGATGGCTCAGCACTATCTCAGCTGCAGGATATGTGCACTAACACTGCCTGATTCAAAGAGTCAGGAAAAGAAACAAGAGCTGGCAAGACCCTTCCAATGAACTCTTGTTTTTTATTTTCCCTAAAATAACATCAACTCTTTCCACTCTTTTCTCCAAAGAACCAACCATCTTCTTGAGTAGATACGTTCTTTTTCTCTTCCTTCACTTTGACTCACCCAGCTCTATGAGCACATGCCACACAAGTAAAAATACCTCATCACAAAGCCCCGCAGTCATACCAAATGGGCAACATATGCAATACAGTCAGCATATGAATAACTTGGAGGTTGAAACTTTTCGCACAATGGCCTTGAACAAATAACATGCAGGGCCAGAGCTCTTGGGAGTCTTTTGAGAGCAAAGGTTCACAGAGGACTGTAAATATCCATCCTTTGCCATTTTAATATTTCTAGTAATGTGTGATTTTATACCCCTCCTTTTATCTCTCTTAATCTGAATCTTACATTCACTCTGAAATAGGAAATCAATTCAAGAAGCCTAAAAATGGAAATGTGTATAGGATGACAATATTGACTCACTTTTTCTCTGAATATTCTTTTATCAGCTCCTGAAAGAAAGTCCACAAAAACTTCCCACATGATGACTAACAAAGCACAAACAATCAAGTGCTCCTCTCCAGTCTGGATGAGTCCTTCTCTCTGAATACATGAGGTGGATCCACACACACATCACTGAGTGCTGGCTCACATTACAGACTGTTGGGACAAGCTGGGTCCTTACAGAGCTTCCGGATCATTGAACACTAAGACACAATTAACTGTTCAGCCAACTGGAAGCTAAATCTTGCAAGTAAAATAAATCCTAATCTTCTAGACTACAAGTCAATAGTACAAATACAGCTGTTACAACATTACACAGCTCCCAGCAGTGTCACCAGCTGCTGAGATAGGAAAGATTCGAGGAGAAGGAAATGCTGTACCTGTAAATAAATGTTTGTTACTGATGATGGGCTCCAAACCTATTGAGCCTCTGATCATTTTGCTGGAAGGCTCTAGGTTTTCTCACCAGCAAGAAAAAGAGGGGAAGAATGTCTCCTCATGTTAAAAGAGACAATTAGAAGCTCATTCTGCTTGGAATATATCTTATTAAAAGTCAGGGTTCAGGCACAAACATGAAACTTCACTTTCCAGGTACACATCTAGTTATCTGCCTAGATTACTTCTCTGAGGTTCATGTGTGCTAAAGAGTTAGAGAGTGGGAAACATCTAGATGCAGTACAGAGATGGAGGACCTGAAGAGAAGCAGACTTCAAAAGAAACTGTGTTTTATTTTTCCTGCACAAATACTCAATTTTTCATATGTTAGAGGACATCCAGTATCCAGATGGATACACTAAAAATCTGACTAGGATGTATCCCTGGGCAAAAATGCTTTAGCTGACTGTGCATTGACCCGGTGGGCTTGGCTAGCTGATCTCATCCTTCGCACCTCATTCCCCTCTGTGGTTTTACAAGAGATAGCACAAGATGAAGCTGTGTCAGGGGAGGTTTAGACTGGATATCAGGAAAAGGTTCTTCCCCCAGAGGTGCTGGCACTGCCCAGGCTCTCCAGGGAATGGGCACAGCCCTGAGGCTGCCAGAGCTCCAGGGGTGCTTGGACAGCGCCCTCAGGCATGCTCAGGGTGAGACTGTTGGGTTGTCTGTGCAGGGCCAGGAGCTGGACTTGATGATGCCTGTGGGTCCCTTCCAGCTCAGGATATTCCATTCTATACATAGATCAGAGGCACTCTGAAACACTCATGTGGCAAACAGATGATCTTTCCTGAGAGCAAATGATACCTTTCAGGCAGAGAAGCTGCAAAGGTATAATGACAAGTATCCTGTCTCTACAAACCTCTCTGCTTTGCAACACAACAGTTGCAACACTGACCTCCCAGAGCAATGCGATGGCAGGGCTTGAGAGGATTACAGAAACATCTTAACAGTATTACCTTGGGCAATGTCATTTAAGGTGTTTATCACTGCAGCATGAGATCCACAGAGATTTAATCATATGATTGTCTTAGTCATCCAGGTAGTTTTCAGGGCCTATGATGGGCTGAAGAAGCAGACTGAATCAGGTGATGGACTGAAGGTGTACAGGCTCTTGCAGCATAAAGAAAACCACACAAAATCCACCAGAAAGGCACTGCAGAAAGTTTGCTACTCTTGTCAGACCTGGAGAAGTGAGAAGACCCCATACTACACAACAGAAGTGAACCTTGTGCAGGCAAATAATCTTTTTTTCCCCTCACAACTCTGTCCATTCTGCTGTGCTCACATGAATCTGTGCTGATACTGACACATCACCATGAGGATTTCCATGGGTACAACTCAAAGAAGCTGCGGCTGCCCCATTCTTGGAAGTGTTAAAAGGCCATGTCAGATGGGGCTGAGAGCAACCTGGTTTAGTGGAAGGTGGGTTTGGAACAAGATGGACTTTAAGATCTCTTTCAACCCAAACTATTCTGTGATTTTATATTTGGGTTAAGGACAGCACTGGAGACTGCTGACTATGAAGTACTTCCAGCAGAGGCTGACCCCTGTCATACCCTGCATATACAATTACAGGCCCATCAGAGTTGGGCAAGCCACCATCAACTTACCCAGTAGGTATATCACAGTCTCTGATGACAAACACCCCAGGTATGCTTCTTCTGAACTCAAATTCTCGCTGTGACAGGACACAGACCCTTTGGAAATGACTCCTGACTCTCTTCAGCTGGGGTATTGCACAGACCTCCTACTCCCGTGGGGCTCAAAGCTGGCTCTGTGGCATTTGCCTTGTTCCAGTGGTGCTCTGCCACCCATAGCATGTCCTGCAGACTGGCTGGCAATCTATTTTTCCAGCATGTGGGAGGCCCACACCTCTCTGCCATCTGCCACCGTTCATTTCTTGTCACTTCTGAAGCAACCTGAAAAATAACTCTGATTAAATTTAATGAAGCAGGAAACCCTCTGAGTACATTTATTTCTCAAATAATCTGCTTACTGCTCTATCACACTTGCGTGTGACAGACACCCATCTTATCCCTCCTGCACTTCTGAATCCATTCATTTGCTCCTGTTTTGGCTCTAATGAGTGGTCTGCCCAGTTTCCACAAGAACAGGGAGGAAGTGGGAAATGGGGGGAAATCTAGAAAGGATTTTTAGATCATAAGGTATAGCAACAAATAGGAATTCTTAAGAAAATATGGATTCTCTCCTGCTAAGCAAAAGCTTCAATGAGTGCAATGAATGAGAAAAAAAATCCCTCACTCCTTCAAAACATATTTTTAAGACTGAACAGTTTCTTCCAGTGGAAAATAGGATAATTGAAGGTGTCTAAATTGATAGCTGGTCAACTGTGACCAAGGTTCATGGAGTAATTCCAATGTTCCCTAAGAAATCTGCAACTAGTCCTGACTCTTGCCAACACTAGTTGCAGTACTCTGCATTTCCAGAGATATTGCTCCTGAATATCCTTGCTCCAGCATGGTGGTTTCTCTCTCTCCATCCATCACCAGTTTTGCATTGTTCCTTTCTGCACAGCAGTGCCAGCAGAGCTGCAGGCTGCTGCATAACTCAGCAGGAACAGGAAGCAGAGATTCCTGGTGTGGCTGGATGAGAAGACTGGCTTTTGCTACAACCCATCCTGCCTCTGCTGCACAATGATTTCACCTTCCAGAGTTCCTAACTTGGCCCATCCCAACAATCTACATCACTCCAAAAGAAATCAAATTCTCAGAAGAAGGAAGAGAATGCTCTCCCTTCCCCGAACAAAAGAATCCATGTACTTGACCTGGGAGAGATACAAAAGCCTTTGGCCATACTGACATACCCTGACAGTACATTCTGAGTTAGATGTATCTTCCTCATGCCTTTCACCCAAGTAACAGCACAAACACAGCTCACAAAACTATCTTAACTCTTGGCCTTTACTGAGCAATCAACACCTACCCTCCCAGCACTATTGCAAGCAAAGCTGAAGTTCCCCATTTCACCTGTTGGAGTTCCTGCAGCAGGACCACCAGAGGCTGTGGAAAAGAGGGAGTGGAGCATCTCCCTACCAAGGAAAGGCTGAGGGAGCTGGGGCTGTTCAGTCAGCCTCAAGAGGAGACACAGCCTTGAGGGGCCCTCATCCCTGTCTGTCCCTGTCTGCAGGGAGGGCTCTGCACAGGAAGTTTCACCTGAACATGAGGAACAGGTCTCCCAGAGAGGGGGTGGACTCTCCCTCACTGGAGATATTCCAGAACCATTTGGACACAATCCTGTGTCATGTGCTCTGGGATGACTCTGCTTGAGCAGGATGGTGGGACCAGATGAGCTACTGTGGGCCCTTCCAATGTGAACTGTACCATGATTTGTTTGAAAACGGTGTACTTCCTTTTTCTAAGCAAGTGAATGTGCCCTGAAGCTAGTTAGCACTAGATTAAACTGTGAAAAGTGATCACAGCACCTTTTCTCTGTAGTCTGTATTCTGGCAACATCTTTAACCATTGCAGAAAAATAAGCTAACTTTGTTACTTTGCAACATGATGAAAAATAATTGCTATTTTTTGATCTGTAGCAGACCTAATACAATAGCATCTTTTTCAGTAAATTATATTGTCTGCTAAATAAATTTGAATTTCTAAGTAAACTTGAATTACTCTTCCAGCCTATGCACTCTGAAAAACAGCCATGCATTTTTCAGACATATATCTGTCCCTCTGCCTTCAACCGGCTGTATTTATTCCCTCAGATAGCTCAAGCAGCTCTGAAACACTTTGGAAATTAAAATGTCCTGGCTCACTGCAAAGGCTGTTCACATCTGTCTCTTGATTCTTGGGCAGGGCATTATGGATAGCAAGGTCTCCTCTGTGGTGAAGGCTTCATGCTGGAGCTCCCACCTGGACCCAGGATGTGCTCCATGACACAGTGGGCCACTGGCACTAAGAGATCGAAGTCTCAGGAATGAAGAATAGAAACATCTGCTGGATGGGAGGAAAGTGGGAGAAACAGCTGCTGGCATAAAATGACACAGCCTTGTGGAGCTGCCATGAAAAGTGTCATCTCAAGGGCAAAATCTGATGTATTGAAATGAGGCTAATGATAAAAACATAAAGACCTGCATTGTTTCAGCCCCTAAAATATGGCCTTGGTCAAGGCAAAGAGAATTTTGTAGGTACACAATAGTGCCTTTCATGTTTACAGAGTACAACTGTGCGTGATCATTGTGCACAGAAGAAAAATTCCAGAAGTCTTTCCCATGGCTCAATATCATGCAATGGCCTCTAGATGTACCTTACTGGGCCAGACCCTTAGCTGGGAAAACTGGTAAAACACTGACGTATGAGGTGAAAGTGGGAGATTTGTAACAGCTGAAGAGCTGCACAATAATTTCTTCAAGTAAGAAATGACAACTGTTTCTATGGGAAGGAGTAATTTACTTAATAGCTTCACACATGCATAGATGCTAATGCCAGCATTTACATCTTTCACATATAACATATACACCACGCGAGTCACAGAGCTCTTTCTGGAAGACTGCGTAATGTTGAAATAAGCAATGCAAAAATGAGAATGCATTACCTTCAAAATGACCAGACTTCCTCCCACCTCTTCCCCCTCCAAGTTCACAGACTATGCATCTCATCAGGATTCACTATATCAGCCAGGATTCACCACCTTAGCCAGGAGCTCTATCTTTGGCTGAGTCTGATAGTCATTCTAAGTCTCCTACCTGAACTTTGTGTAGCCTGACAGATGCTGAGTGTCCTATCTCCTTTCCTGAGTATTCCTTAGTTTCTGACACAACACCAGCACTTCTGTGATGGCAGAATTCTGATCATGGTGGCTATCCCTTTTTCTGGCTTCTGTCAAAGAAGACATGATTTAGCTTCTCCATACTAGCAAGCTCTTCCTGGGTATACTCCAGTTGTTTGCCAACATTACTGGGAGAAAAAGAAGAGGATAGCAGGGACAGCTTGCTTTTCCTCTCCTTCCTGGCTTCTTCCACATGTGGGTTTTGTTTCATTAGAACATGCACGACGATAATCAAGATTAGAGAAACACAACCCAGATTTCTTCCATTTTGGAGGTGAGATATCAGGAGCTGGTCATGCCTATGGATGTACTCACAGGGAAGAAGCCAAATGGACTAAACTGCCCAGCTGCCAGCACACACAAGAGGACGGGTGCCAGGAATCAAACCACTGGGGATGTCACAGGTGGATTTTCTAAAGCAGTGTGTCTTACAAACCTTCCACAGTTCTAAAGATGAAAGCAGCAGAAACAGTGAGCAGAAAAATTTTAGGCAGCATAAAGATACAAGATAATCTGTCACAGATCTTATGAATCTAAATAGCTTGTATAGTCTTAAAATAGCAGCATCTCCCCTGTTTTTTTGTTATGGAACTGCAGGTTAAATGATTCTTACTCTTTAACCTTTCTTCTGTTAGAATGCTTCAGTTGATATCTTTCCTGAAGTGGTAAGTTCTTCCTCTTTCTAATTCATAGAGAAGTTAGGATTTCTCTCCCCAAATGAAGATAATGTGTTACTCTTGACTGGATGTAATTGGATACAATTAGTGATTGGATGCTAAGTCCACAGTCCCAGCATCTAGAAAATCAAAGTGAGACAAGGTAGTATCAGTCACCTGAAACACAGGATCAGTAGGACCAATTTATTGGCTTCTTTCTGGTCTTGGGAGAGGAAGTCCCTCTAGAGTCCTGCTGGGACTCTGGAAGTAATTCCAGCTAAATTCTGTAGGGATCGCTTGGAGATTCTTTGTGAGCTTTTCCTCAGTGACACTGCCCCCTGATTACTCAGAGATGGGCAGCCCAAGGACCAATAAATGCATTTCTACTGACCAAGCTCAGGAGGAGGGGTTGGACAAATGTCTGATTAGTGCCCAGTGTCCAAGGTAATAGCCAAAATGCCAGGGATGAGGGCCAGCCTGTGAGGGGGTGTTGGAGTCTGAGATACAGTGTGCCCTTGTTTCTAATACTTAGTTCTAAGATTCAAAGAAACACTGAATTTCATATAATATGAAATTCATGAGCATGTTTTCATGGTGATACATGAAAACAAACGTTAAAGTTAGATGGAAAAAGCTTAAATCACTGGGTGAATAAGTAGTTTAGAGAACAGGAGACAAGATAGAGGATTTAGGGTGTTGTCTCTTGTCCTTCTTTCTTCTTCATGTTCTTCTCCTAGGGGTTTTTGGGTAATAGTACGTGATTGGATAAAAAATACCGTAGTGCAGCACACAGGTGTTGGGTCATTGGGTCACTAAGAAAAATAATTTAGTTGGCATCTGTTAATTGGGTAAATGGACATATAAAAGACCTTGAAGAAGATCTTCGTTAACCATTTTACCCCTTTTCTATCATAGTGCACATAGCTCCTTGTACCTTGTAATGCTGATAAGAATAAACAACTGAGACCAAACAAGAGAAAACTGCCTCCCTCTCATCAATCTTCAGTTCAAAGGGAAAAAGAACCCAAACCCAAAAGTCCTTAACAAGACAAGGGGGCAGGCAGGTCATCCCCTGAAAGCAGGGTCTCCATCTGAAGGCAGATGGAATAGGACTACATTTCCTAACCTTTGCCTGGGGAATCTGTTTACACAGGAGGGTGCCAAGCCTAAAAGGTGTCAAGATCACACACAGATTTCTGCTGTCTCTGTGTGCAAATACTCTTGGCCTCACCCTGCCACAGAAAGAACCCTAAAATTCACTTTGTTCCCAAAAGTGAGACATTTCCCCTGCTTTGCTAAAGTGAATTATCTGAGACAAGTTATGGTGTCCCTGTAACCCTTCATTCTCTTTAGTAGGTGATCCTCAGCTTTTAGATTTCCAAGACTGATGCTGTGAGGCAAGTTTTGCTCTAGAAGCACTGTGGTACTTCCAATCCCCTTTTGCCTTGTCTTTAATTCATTCCAGAGCTCACAGTTGTGCTGGATATTCCTGTAAGCAGTTTGCTGCCTACAAGCTTGGGCCTGACACTGCTGCTCTACATTTAGGTTGGCAGTCAGCAAAGCGATACAGTACCTCCAGTCCAGTCTCCCTGGTGGCAACCAAACTCAAATGCCAGGCACAAAGCTGAGGAGAGGATGAAGAAACGGGCAGGTCAGAATTGAGCTCAACTTTCTATCAAAACTGAGATACATTTCCTTAAAGCAAGAACAGTGCATCAGAGATGTCAAGGTGGATCAGAATATCCCTTCTCCCTCACTGCTGTACATCATTAATGCCTTGGGGAATAGACCAAACCTCCAGCCACAGGTATTACAGTCTATTAAGTCTAGTCTTACTAGCCTATTACTATTAGAGCAAACCCTGATCCAAACCTGACACTGCTGTAATAAGATACATCACTGAAACCCTGAACAGCACTGAAATTCTAAAGAAATGTTAAAAGGGGAGAACACAATGTTTAAAAAAAACATCATTAAGACTGTTCTGTGGCCCCTCTAAAGAGGAAAGGATGGATGGAGCAGCCGTGGCATTTCCTAACTTCTAATACCATTGCTTGTTTCCTTTCAAACAAATATAATACAGCAAAGCTTAAAAGTGAAGTACAGACTCCTGTAGTTCCAGACACCTCTTCAAGATACAATCACCAATGAAACAATTTGGGCACGTCCATCAAAAACTCAGGAGACATCACCTTGACTATAAAACCAGGGAGTAGACAGAAAAAGACAAAATCCTTTGTCCAAGATCCCATGGCTGTCTTGTGGAACTGAACAGACCCTACACTGACACAAGTACCACATTGATGAACATCTGCCTTCCCACACACATGGATAAGTCCTCCAGTAATGAAGCACAGAAAAAGGAACCGGCTTTGCAGGTCAGCATTATTCAGACCTCTGGAAAACCACAAGAGTTGTTCTCATATTTGAATAGATTTTTCTCTGACCCCTTTGAAGACAACTGCTAGATTGAGTTACACTGCTACCTTTAGCCTAATTGTGAATGCCTAATGAATAGCATGTACATGAGTTGATTATGTAAGAATGCTTTCCAGAATACTTCTGCAGCAAGGATTTTATAATGTTTTAGCAGCTCTAGCTTTACCTGAGACACGACAAGGAAAAAAATAACCTATTTCCCAGACACCTCCTGCATAATCAGCCAGGGAAGCAAACAGCTGTAGCTCCAAGGTCATGTAAACGATGCTCTTGAATCATGAATCTTGAAACACAAAAAGTGTGATAAGGACACAGCTTTTGTATGTTTAGTGTAAAATCCTGGAAATAAAAAAAAATACTGTCTAAGATCATTCAAAGTAACAGCTGTGCTCCTTGGCACAAAAGAAAAAAAAAGTCTCGCAGATGCAACTGCCTGCACCAGACCTTAGTAATAAAATTAATTTTTTAGAGTCACAATCAGGTGTTTAGTCCTTCACAGCCAATGTTTTTCACCATCTCTCAGCTGTTCTCAGGAGTCTCAAGATTCCCTTCAATCTGCTTATACTCACATTTCTCACTTTTCACACAAGCTGACTGGACTACAAAAGGGAGGAAAGTACTGCTCCCTAGGGACACCTGATACCATGTAACCTTTCACAGTACTTCTCTTCCTTCAGCATTTTTTAGGCTTGGTGGGAAGATTTTCTGCATGAACTTAAGGGATGGGCTCAGTGACTCAAGCAGAATTGACTGGAAACACAAATTCAAAAAGCCAAAATTTAATACAAATCAAATGGAACAGTGTCTTTGGCTGTGACATTTGATTTTACCACTACCCAAGGCTAACATGCAGCTAATTTTCCCTCTGATGCACTGGTAGTTGTAACTGAACTTATAAAGGAAACTTTATTTAAGAGCTGATTGCATATCCTTCCTAGCTGTCCAGAACCTAGCTTCAGCAAGAAAAATTTTCCCAGTTGTTTTTCCAGAAACAACTGTCCTTACATCCCTAGGCTGGATTAAATAATGATGTGCATTTTTTTCTATTTCACTATACCTGTCAGTGAAAGAGATGAATGAGCAAAAATAGTTCTCTCTCACTTTGCCTCAAAGACCGTGAGCTCATGCACCTCCATGTCAGGGATGACACACTGCTGGTGTTTGCTGGATGCCAGACACTGCATTCACACAGACTCAGAGTGGAAGCATCCAGCTATCCACTGCTGGATCTTGATTCCAAACCATTCCCTGCTGTATGCATCCTCAGCTGCTAGAAAGGCACTGCTCTATTTAAAAGCAACAGGAGAAAGGGAAAATCTCATATAAAAGAGAGATTCTACAGTTAATGTCGATTCTACAGGAAAGAAAGCAGATCCTTCCACACTGCTGACCCTTTCAAAGGTGCCTCTCTCCAGTGTGAGCACAGAGGAGCAGTAATGTAGGCTGAGTTTTAGAGTCATATGCATAGTAGGCAGGTCTGGTTTAAACTTCTAGTTAAGGCACCCTGGAAGAGGATCCAGAGATTCATGCATTACATTTGCTATTGCACAGCGTCTTTCTACTGTTCTTCAGTTTACAGGAGATCTGGCACAGTTTTAGTCAAAGTGACTTTTCTAGAAGAAATTAAAGTGAAATTCTTGGGGAGTTGTGCAATTGAATAAACCTCTGTTAAGTGTCCCGTGTGACTCTGAAGGGGATTCTGCTGAACCTTGGCTTTTCCTGCAAGCTCCCAAGCACTTCCGGATGAACTGGCCATTCTTCTTGCAGATGCTTCCCTTCAACTCCACGATCCTGGCAGATTTTGCAGCTTAAAGGGGGGAGAAAAAATAAGAATCAGTCATCTCATATAGTGAGGACTCAGTCTGCAAAGCCTGAGGGGGAGCAGGGCAGGACTGAATCCCTTTCTTCTCCTCCTCACCATGCAAAGTTCTCTTACCTGTTTCCATAAGCTTCAGCTCTCTGCACAGCTCCTCCTGCATCTTTTTCCTGTAGTCTCCAAACATGGCTCTCATGAGCTGACGCTTCTTCACCAGTGGAGCTTTGTCACTGCGCAGTGTCCTGATCGCCCTGAGAGCCTCCTCAGCTACAGCAAAGGAGAAACAAAACACAGGTTAAGGCTCCCTGCTGGCTCTGACCCTGCATTCCTGCCAATGCTCCCCCCAGGAGAAAGCTCTTCTTTACTTCAGTTCTTACCCTGCTTTGGAGTGGGTTTCTGTGTCTTCAAGCCAAGTTCCAGCTGGCTCACACACCAGTCCACCTCTTTCTGCAGCTGCTCATCTGACTGTTATCAACATGAGGCACAGTGAGCAAGAGGAAATAAGTCACCCAAAAATTACAGCAGTAGTTGTTATAGAGGATGAAAGTGAACTCCATACAGTCAGAACTATACCAAATATGTTCTGGTGATCACTTTATAGACTTCATGGCATTTTCCCTCTAGTGTTTTTCATCAGATAAAGCACTATGCAAATGTTTAGCTGCAACTCACTGTCTCTATTATATATATTTAATATGTGGCTGCCATTCAGAAGGTGCTGTTTTCTGGAAAATGGTTCAGCTTTCAAATAAAAAAAGATGGGAGAAATAAACAATAAAAAAAACCCTATCCTCAAATCTGCACAAAATCAAACAAATGGACAAAATCAGAAACTGAACCTTTCTTCTCAGCTCCTCTGTGCTTGCTCAACCAGAAATGCCTGAGGAGAAGGAAGATGAAGCCCATGGAGATGGAGGAAGCCAAGCACCACTGAGGAAAGCCAGCTGGCTAACTCAGCAGTGGGACAGAGAAACAGGGCTGCACCCTGGGACTGAGGCAATTCTTAACTGTTATGTACATGTAAATACAAATGCCCTCACGCTGTCTCCTTTTACCTACTACAGTGTCCTTCCAAAGGACTGGAAGGACTTTACCTGACCTTCAACTCTTCCAATGTCTCTGGTGCTCAACAGTGTTTATTGGCAGGACTGCAGGTGAAGCAGACCTTTGGATGGAATGCTCCAGAAGCAGGTGAACACTCAGTGCAATTTCCTTGTAAAATATTAAGAAAAGGAAGGTTTTGTGCAATCTTGTATTACAGTATTGCTCAGCTGGCACTGTTTGTTAATTACACCTGCACCAGTGCTGGAAAGTAAAATAAAATGAAGACCTGGACCTTAGCAGAACAGAAATCCTCAGGGTGTGCCTTAATGTTGTGTTTACACATAACTTGCAACTTCAGTTGATTTCTGGGCCATGCCCTACAGAGGAACCCTCTTGGAAGCACCTTTGAGCTTTACCACAGGTCCTTGGCTACACCAAGTGGCAGTTCTGTCATGGCTTTGTTTGATACACTACAAAAGCAATTCATCCTGCAACATGCAGACCAGAGCTACAGGGCCTGGCTCAGCATGCACAGGCACCAGCTTGGCACCAACTGAAGACAGTTACCTCCATTTCCTGTTTTTATTTTCTTAAGAAAACATGGCATCCAGTTCCCCAGGATTAGCTGTCACAAGCCTAAATATAAAATCTTTCAGCACAAATTTGAAGGACCATTAATGTCCTTTGCACTGGTCAGATTCCTCAGCTGTGTACCAGAGAAAGAAATCAGCTGCTAGAACAGTAAGCAGCAAGCACAGTCTTTCAGCTTCCATCTCAAGGCAGTATGGAAGTTGTTCATCTATGCAAAGAGATAAAATGTCTCTTTAGCTCAAGGGCTTATAAATTATGGGATCCCACCAGTAATTAACTACCTGAGAGGTCTTCTCATCCTGATGGGAAGTATCTGTATTTTGACAGCTGTTAGCTTCTGCCATTGCCTTCCTGTTGGTCTCAGTTTCTTCTGTTTTGTTTCTACTGACAGGTGGTTTTTGTTTCTTCTTTTTCTTCTTCTGGGCAGCTCCACCTCCTGTCGATTTCTCTGTCACTGCCTCATCTGCAGGGGCTGTCTTTGTTTCAGGGATCTTTGATGTGACATGGCTTCTATCCTCTTTGGATGCATTCCCAGTTACTTGAGTCAGCTCAGGCTCCTGCAAGGCTGTAGCCTGTGGCAGAGCTGCTGATTCAGCAGGCAGTGAAGGATCTGCTATGTGCTCTGTATGTTGGCTTGCTGGAAGTAACTGAAGATGAGGACAGTCTTCATCTGTGATAGCAAAGTTGAAAGCAAACTTGGGTTCTTGCCCAGAGGCAGCAAACATCAAGGCTCCATTCCAGTTCTCCTGCTTGGTGGCTCTGACATTGTTTTGTACATGCTCAGCAACACTGTCACCAGGGTCAGCTTCTAGGCTGGTCTCAGAAAGTGTAAAATCAAACTGGAACCTGCTGCCAGATGATGTGAACAACTCTGGCTTTGCCTCAGGGGTTGGGTCAGACTGTTTCACACCATCTGTAGCCTGCCTCTTGCTTGGCTGTACTTGTACAACATCAGGGTTCATGCCTAGAAAAGACAAAGAATATTGTTTCAATAATGGCATTCTCAATGCACCAGTTTCCTACCATGGGGGTGCCACTCTAGCTTCCACTCTAAGGCACTGTCCAGAGAGGTGACTCAATGCTGTAACCTAAGAAATCTACAGAAAAGAACCAAATCTCACCACCCCCCAAGAGACAGCTCAAGCTCACCTTTCTCCATACTCTTCTGGCCCTCATCCATCTTGAGATGACAATCTCCAAACACACTGCTTCTCTGAAAAGAACTTCACTTGTTGCTTCTCTGAAAGAGCAGTCTCAGGTGAACGCAGTACCTTGAAAATGTGTTGGGTCTCTTCTGCTGCACTCAGAAAACAAGAGAAACAAGAAACAGTTTACGGTGGGCCTTAAAATCCACACTGTGATGTGCTGATGACTGACTCTTCTCTGAATATCCTCTGTGCTCATACCACCCCTGACTAATCTATAACTAGCATTCAGTTGAAAGGGAACTCCTTGTGCTTCTAGAAGCTCAAATACTGTGAGATGTTCTTACAGAGGGAAAAAAAAAAAATCTTAAGTGCTTCTTACATACAGTTGGACTCTTACACTGCAGCAAGTCCACTGCTCATGGCACAGATGCTACAGAGGGCTTAGCAATCTTTCCCTCAAGGTGAAGACAAATCCCAGAACCTAGCTAAGTGTCTCTTCTCTGGAAAATTGGAATGAATCTGAGTAGAAAGCATACCCTGGAAGGCAGGACTCTTGCTTGACTCTCTTACAAACCAGCCTGACTACAACAGGAATCCAAAGCTTTTGTGTTAAAACAAATTCTCCAAAAACCATAATTGTTCTGTGACAGTGGTCCCCACTACAATAGTGTTGTAGTGTTTGCCTCACTTATTTTAAGCCACAGAACAATCTGAGAGTAGTACTGTGGAAGGGGAACATCCTACCTCTCCCGGCAGCAACACCTAATCAGAGAAAGAACCTTTCCCTAACATCCAGCCTAATAATCACCCCCTAACATAGCTCCAGCCATTCCCTCAGGTCCTGCCCCTGTCACAGAGAACAGAGATTCGAGCTGCCCCACAGGAGGAGCTGTAGCCCTGGTGAGCTCTGTGCTCCATCTCCTCTTGTCCAGCTGAACAAACCAAGTGCCCTCAGCTGCTCCTCCTATGGCTTCCCCTCAAGACCCTTCCCCATCCTCGTGTCCCTCCCCTGGACCTCTCTAACAGTTTTAGATCCTCCTGATACTGTGGTGCCCCCAAGTGCTCCCAGCACTCGAACTGAGGCTACCCCAGGGGAGGGCAGAGAAGAGTGGGACAATCCCCTCCCCATCTTGGCCAGTGATGCTGGGCTGGATGCACTCCTGACCCCTGTGGTGGGATGGAAGTGGGATGTACCTTCACAGCATCGGTGTGTCAGGGTCCTGAGCACATGTACCCTTATTTCAAGGGATTTGGCTAGCTGTAACCCAGTTACACAAGAGATAGAGAACACTCCAGTGAGCTGCTCCTCTCCCTCACCTGGGAGCTACTCTGAGTATCTCATGCATACAAGTGCTACAGCCAAATAACTCATTGATCCAGACCCTGAATTCCTGGTTAGGGCTTGAATCTGCCTCCTCACCAGACTTCTCCAGTGACTGTGACTTCAGGCAGAGCCTGGATACCATCAGCAGCATCTGCTCAGCTCTCCTGGCTCATGTACGGTGCAAAAGAGCCCTGCTCCTGTTGGCCCATTCCTGTGCTTAGCTCCTGCCTCCCCTCCAGGAGCTGCCTTCCCTGCTGCTGGGCACTGGGGACCACCAGCAAGGAAATGTGTGTAACAAAAAGGTCTGATCACTGAACAGGTTGGGCAGAAACTTTAAAGCTCATTCACCCATGCCATGGGCAGGGACACCTTCCACTTTCCCATGTTACTCCAAGCTCCATCCAACCTGACCTTGGACACTTCCAGGGATCCAGGGGCAGCCACAGTTTCTCTGGGCACCCTGTGCCAGGGCCTCCCCTCCTCCTCAGAGGGAACAATTGCTTCCTAGTATCTGATCTAAGCATAATCTTTGTCAGTGGGAAGCCATTCCCCCTTGTCCTGTCACTCCAGACCCTTGTCCCAAGTCCCTCTCCAGCTCTCCTGGAGCCCCTTTAGGCCCTGCAAGGGGCTTTGAGGTCTCCCCAGAGCCTTCTCTTCTCCAGGCTGAACAACCTCAACCCTCTCAGCCTTAATTCTTTTTGGAGCCTGATGCCCAATAAAAGGGTGCAGGCAGCTATCAATTACTGCTCCATCCTCAGGTGCACCAGCAAACACTCATCTGAGCATCTTACACAGGATTCACAGCCCTCTCCCAAGGTTAGGTACTGACCAGCAGCAGGATGTGTGTCTGCAGCTCTACAAATTGGACTGATGACATCGAACTATGACTTTACAGGATTTTATCTTCTATGAAATATTTCCCTGGAACAAGCTTCACAAAAATAAACCTACTGATGTTTAAGATCCAGACACACTGGCACAGTATTTCCTTAAGATGGAAAACAAAGGCAGAGCTGTAGCAGAACCAACCAAGCCATTATATGGGAAAACGAATACACAAGGAAGAATACAGAAAACAGGGAGAACAAATACTAAATGAATGAAAGGCATAACTGCTGCCAGAAACACAGTCCTTAAAGCCCAATGCTTTGTGTTGTTCTGTATTTAGAAAAAATCCTAAATAACACAAGAACAGGGAACATAAAGGAGAGAAAAAAACAGAAAAACACCCAGATCTGCTAAATCACACCCAAGACCAGAATATGGGGGGTGTGGGATGGGAAAGAGGAACATACCTCTTTTGGGGTGTAGAGTGAGGTGGAGATCTGCCTCCAGTTGTGAAATGCACCACTCCAGCTCCTCCTGGAACACACCTTGGGAAGCCTTAGACTTTGCGAGGAGAAGGCAGAATGTTTAGAAGCACAAATCTCTCACCTCCAATACTGACTCCAAAACTGAGTTTTCTGAGGCCTTCTCTCCTCTCACAAGAGATCAGGCTTTACACTGGATGTGTGCTGTGTAACAGTTAATTTATACCATAAATCAACACAGCACAGGGAACGTATGTCCTGTGTGGAGAACACCAAATGAGCCCTCTGCATTACAAAAATTACAGCTCTTAGCATTACTGGCAATCCAGGACTTCCCACAATTTTTTTTTTTCATATTTTTCTCTACCCCTCCCTTTTTAAAGGCCCCAAATGGAAGAGATCTCATTTTTCCTGAAGCTTAAGCAATGGCATAATGTCTCCAAAGCAGAAAATTTCCCTTTAGCATAGCTATGGCAACACAGAGAATTTATCTTTAGGCTAAACACAAGCCCTTGAGGCCCCATGTACTGTACTTCTACGCTGGCTGCCTCCTGCTAAACAGGTGAACTTAAGGTTTATAGCCCCCCTGAGGACAAGACACACTAAAACACTGGGAACGAAAAGAATGTTCAGGGTAAGGAGATCAGCAGGGATTAAGAAAGGCACCAGCGCTGGGAAGGCCTTTAGGGATAACCTGCGGGATCTGGGCCCGGCGCGATGAGAGGGGGTCGGTGCGGGTCGGGCAGTAGAGCCTTACCCACTCCAGGCCGAACTCCCGCGCCGCCGCCGGAGGAAACGGCTCCACCTCACCGCCCACCTCCGGTCACCGGCCTCGTGTGGGCTCCGGGAGCAGCCCCGCCCAGGCCGGGCCAGCACCGCCAACTGGAGCTCGGGGGCTGCTCGGGGCCTCCCCGGTNGGGCCGCTGTGCGCCGCCCTCAGCGCTCCGGGTGGCCGGGCCGGGCCGCTGTGCGCCGCCCTCACCGCTCCGGCCGCGTCCCGCGCTGCCGTTCCGCCCGAGAGCGGGCGGAGTCTTCGGAACCCACTTTGGCAGCACATTTGTGAATCCTGCTCCTCCCTCCTGCTCCCCTGAGCCCCCTGAGGACCTGCCCGACACACATGTGCCCACGACCGGGCCGGGCCGCGGGTATCCGGCGGCGCCGCCTTTCCTGGGCCAAATCCCCGCAGGAGCGTCCGCACCAGCCCTGGCCCCTCACTTGACAGCCTGACACAAGCCACGCCAGCACGCACCACCATGGGCAGACAAAAAAGGTTAATACACGCCTACAGGTACTGTCTAATCCCATTTCTATTTTAGATTTCCTTTTGATTATTTAATTTTGTAAATAAAAATCTAGACACCTTGTTTCACGGGCATTTTTTCCCCCTTGGATTGTTTCCAACAACAGCCAGAAGATCCCCATGAGGTCAGTACTGAAGCAGCACAGCGCATCACAGCACAGGATTTTGTGTCTCTCAAATGCTTCAAACCATGGAGGTTATAATTTCTCTTGACATTGACAGCTGATGTTAGAAATTCTCCAAGGCTGACAGAAGGGCTCTAAAGTGCTGGGAAAGCACTTCCAAATGTTGCTGGTAAAGATTATAAAATGGTACTGAAAAAATCGGTACACTTTTGCCAATTGCAACCAGACTTCAGTCTGCCTTACAGTCTCCACCGTTGCTGAAACTTAGCCGTTGTCTGAGCCCTCCCTTCATTACAAAAACCACCTCAGTGGTTTGAGCCTTTTCCAAGGTTGTCTTGAGACTTTATCTCGAGGCTTATGGTTGAGTCAGGTCGAAATCAGCATCAGTCCTCACATACGTCCATGTGTCAGAAAAAAATCTGACAGTCAAGTATAGGAGAAGATAATGAGCACAAAATAATGAGCTATCATATCTGTCTTGAAAGGCCAGAATCCCACTGCAGTTTTCCTCTCCCTCAGTACCTGAGCTGGACTGAGGGCTCATGAGCCTGTCACCACCAGTCTGGATGCATCCCCTAAAGCAAAAGCTCCCCATGCTTGGCCTAAGGAATGCACAAACCCATCAGGTAATGCAAAGGCTCTTCTTGGTATGGCTGGCATAGCCTGCAGAACCCATCCACACAGAGCAAGGAGTGAAAGAAACATTGTTTTATGTGGCAGGATGCTGTTCGTATCTCCAGCTCTGTGGACTCAATGCCCATGCAGGGAAAAGGCACAAAGGACCAGTGCTGCCTTGGTATTCCTGGGTTTGATCTCTGCCCTGAGGATTCAGCCCCACAAGGACACCGAGTCAGCAAGCTGTGGCAGCCTTGCTCTGAGGACGCACAACAGAAGGGCTGTCGGGAGATCTGAATGTGATCCTCAGCTCCTGCTGATACAACAGAAACCTTGTCACGAGAAGAGCTGTGAGCTGAGCTGGTGGAAGCTGATGTCTAACAAGTCATGGCTTCCTGGGAGCAAAGCAAACAGCAGGCAGAGGAATGGGAATGGCTTGAGCCTGCCTCAGGTGCAGAGCAGGTTAGTGTGTGCTGTATAAACCATGCAAAGGCTGGGACAGATCCTCACTGCTGTCAGATGGTGGCAGGAGCACCTGTCGGGGGGCAGGACAGCTGTGCAGTCCTGTAGGTCACTCCAGGACTGGCATTCCTTGCCAGCAGAGAGCTTCCTTCTTTCCCCATGCCACCAACTGAGCACCAACAAATTCGTGACAGGCATGGCTGTAACTGGAAGCTGGAAAATGCAACTCTTTGGTATGAGGCTCCTTTGATGGAGTTGCAGTAAGGAATTGGGAGAAAAAAAAACAAAAGAGAGAAGTGGAGTGGTTGCCAGAGCTGCTAACCACAGTGCCAGGGAGCCTTGGAGGGCACTGGGACAGCCCAGCGTCACATGCCCGACACATCCTGTCGCCAGACTTCCTCGCCGGCAATGTATGTGGCTTGCACATACAGGCTGTCATTCAGCATTAGGAAATCTGTGTTAGACAAGAGAGAAAGAAAGCAGCTGTCAGAATGGAGCTGCTGGAGGTGGCTGGGGAGAGCTGACCTCAGTAGGGAAGGGCTTCTCCCCACCCTAGGATGGCACTGCAGTGCAATCCTGGCAATGGCAGCTCTGCTTTTTGCTTGGCTGAGATGTGGGGGGCACTCCAAAGGGTTTCCCAAACACCACCAGCATCCAAGGAAAAAAACACTGGAGCAAAAGCCCAGGTGGAGCAAGTCACCCTGCAGCTCCCACTGAAATGGGATGAGCATGTGCTTACAGCAGCCCCTGCTTTACTCCAGCACTTATGAACTCTGACACCATTGTCTCCATAACCAGTACATGCTGTGCCCACACCAGTACCTGCATCGGAGTCATAATTCAGTGTCCCCTTTTTATGTTCAATCCCCAGGAGCTGAGCGGGATGCAGAGATGCTGCCTCCAACGCGGTCTCTGCCGAGCACCCTTGGACAGAGAATAGGGGAGACGTTAGGGCAGCCAGAGCCCCATTGCCAGAGCAGCCCAAATCCCCCGGGACAAGGCAACTGTCAACCAGGCAGTTGACAGACCCTAGATGGAACACCCTCAGCACAGCCAGCTGGAGCTGGGAATGGAAATATCCCTACAGGAGAGAGCAGGCATAGGAAGACTGAATACATAGGGTATGGAGAAGAGAAAAACATTCACTTTAGTGAGGAAGAAGCAGGAGAGTTCACGTCTCATTAATTCTATGGGTTAAAATGAAACTTCCCCTCAAAAAGGGGCTCATCTGAGGGCACTGATCCCAGCCCCTGCCTTGCTTCAGGTGAGAGCAAAAGTTCCTGTTGGAATGGACACATCTGGCAAAAGCAAGACCTCCTCCCGTGTCAACATAGGGAGTAGCAGCTTGTGGACAAGGCTCTCTTACCTGTGGCTTCTTGGAAGTGTCGCACACAGGTGTCCATGGTCGCCACACTGCCACTCAGGGTCTTTGTGCCTGGGCGAGAAACAGGATGGCACTGAGCAGTGCCCATAGATTACAGCAAGAAGCAGGGCACTAGGGAAGCATAATGGGACCAGAAGTGCAGAAGTCCTGGGTGGCAGGAGGAGCAAGCTGAAGGGCCTGCAGGCACTTCCTGCTGGAGGACAGGAAGAAGTAACTGGGTGTAACCCCCAGCTCCACTATCAGACCAGCTGGACTGGGTGAAACCAGCTCACAATACAGGTATCTGCTACCAGAGGATGGGAATGGAGAAAGGAATGCTCCTTCTCTGAAATACCTTTCCAGTCGTCATCTGCTTGGGAATTTGAAACTAAGGTGATTTAGCTAGCAAGAAGTGGTAGTGTTATAATAAAGAAAAGGGACAATAAATATCTCTAAGATTTTTCTGTCCTTACTGACACCCTGAACCTCTGGCACCCTTGACACTGGGCAATGAGGCTTTCAAAGGTGTTGCAGACAGCTACAACTGGACAGATTCCTCCACGAGGGTGGCACACATCTCCTCTTTACCAGGAGTTTCAATATCCCTATGGCCAAGTCACTGCAGATCCACCAGGTGTCAAAACCCAAGAGAACAGCACAAATGCTGCCACACACCAACAGGGACAGCAAGGTATGCTCAGCTCCTCAGAAATGGTGCCAGTGGCAGCACTGTCCCCAGCTCTTCAGCAAGAGGGACAGCACTTGCCTGCGATGTAGGTGTTCAGCCCATCGATCTCCACCACCTGCTGACCCAGCGTGTGCCGACCTGGTGCCAGCCCCATGCCAGCCATCGCATCTGTCACCAGCACCAGCCCTGCAGAACACAAGGAAAGGGGTCCTGTCAACGCTGCATCTGATTTTGCTGAAGCTCCAAGCACTGTGCCCTGTTGACCCTACCAGAGAGAGACCACGTCTCCACCCACCTCCCACCAAAGCAAGAGGACTGAGGGATCAGCACATGTGGCTGTGACCTTCCAGACAGCAAGGGCAGCATGAATGTCTTCTGGGAGATGGTGCAGTGCTCGGAGTGGCTGGTGACACTGTGGGGACTGCCATAGCTCACCTTTGGGGTGGGCTCGGTGGGCGATGCGCAGGGCAGCGGGGTTGGTGTGGATGCCATCAGAAATCATGCCATAGAAGACCCTCCGCCCAGCAGGAATCTTGTCACTTGTCAGCAGCCCCACAATTCCAGGGTCACGGTGGTGGAACTGCTCAAGGGGAGAGAGGTGACAAGCTGTGGAGGATCACCAGGATGCACTGGCTGCAGGGGACGCAGCTGCTGTCTCTATCACACAGTGCCTAGCAACTTTACCAGCCAAACCTGGGCATTGCCTCCAATCACAGAATGGTTTGCAAGGGACCGTAAATTACCTTGTCCCAACTCCTGCCATGGGTAGTGACACCTTCCACTATCCCAGTGTGCTCCAATCCCCATTCAACTGACCTTGAATGCTTCCAGGGATGGGACAGCCACAGCTCCTCTAGGCAACCTGTGCTAGGTTCTCAGTACTCACAGCCAAGAATTCCTTCCCAGTATTCCAACTAACCCTGCCCTCCAGCAGTGAGAAGACATTCTTCCTTGTCCTGCCACTTTAGGCCCTTGTCCAAAGAATTTCTCCAGCTCTCCTGGAGCCCCTTTAGGCCCTGGAAGGGGCTCTGAGGTCTCCCTGGAGCCTTCTCTTCTCCAGGTGAGCACCCCCAGCTCTCCCAGCCTGTCTCCAGAGCAGAGGGGCTTCAGCCCTTGGAGGAATTCCATGGCCTCCTCTATATTCTCTCCAGCAGCTCCACCTCCTTCTGATGTTTGCCCTAGGGCTGGAAGCAGCTCTGCAGGTGGGGTCTCACTTGAGTGGGGCAGAATCCCCCCCCTACCCTGCTGCTGACACACAGGAGGGGGTCTGGGTGCACACAGCAAGGGCATGTTCAACTCTCACCCACCAACACTTCCTAGTCCTTCTGGGTGATGAACTCCAAAAGTTCTGCTACAGCCTTGAATCTCAGATCCAGCAGTAGGAATGTGAAGCCAAAAAGTAGGATGTCCAATGCCAAAACCTCATTGCTAAGCATGGTACAAAACCAGCTGGGGAGAACACAGACCCATGGGCAGTGGGATAGAAAGCCCAAAAGCAGCCTTGGAGTAGGGCAGGTGCCTCTGGGGACTCACCGGCAGCATGGCATTGAAGAGGTGAGTGATGAAGGTTGCTCCGTGCTGCACAGCCTCCTCGGCCTGGGACAGATTAGCCACTGAGTGACCTGGGAACACAGACCAATGCTTGATTCCTCTGCCCATCTCTCCACTGATTTCTCTACAGAAGCAAAGACACGCCATCACTGGACTATGCTCTAATGCCACCCTGGCCTGAGCTCTGAGGTGCAGCCTTGACATAGATTTGTCTGGTCATGACCTGGGGGGGACTCTGGGGGTGGGTGTTTCATCTGAACTCCTTCAGTGTTCACATCACAGCTGTCACAAATGCTATCTTGTTCACAGCATGTTGTCTTCAGGCTGGGTTTGAGGTCAAATGACACACTCTGCTGGACTCAGAAACGTAAATGTTTTGTAGAGAGGTATCAGAGGATACCCTCACAACAGTGGGGACTTTGCCAGGTAAGCATATGGGAACTAAACTATCCAGAAATAAACTACTGTTTCCCCAACAGGACAGCAGCTCTGTGGGCTAGCCTTGTCTTTCTGGAGTTCTTTATCTGTGAGATAAGAGATAGTCTGTTGTATGAATGCCCTTCTCACTTGAGGTTTAATTTCACCCTGAATAACTTCCCCCCACTTTTATTTTTTTTTTAATAAAAAAAGACTTCTTCAGTGATCCAAGACAAAGAAGAGTTTGTGAAGCAAAGGAAAAGAAAAACACAGCCAGTTTTAAGTCAGAGGCCAGACAGATGTTGGAGGGAGAAGTTCCTAAAGCACTTCCAGTTGAAAAACAGAGTTATCAAACTAACAGTAACCTTTGGAAAATTATTTCACCTGTGGAACTTCAGAGTTTGAACCCTTCCACATCATCAAGCATCCAACTAAGACTGCCATTCTTCCCTGTATTAGAACAGCACCTTGTGTTTACTGCAGGGGCTCCTCAGTCAATACAAACTTTGGCCCTTGCCATGACAGATTGACAGCATTGAGGTCCCCATTTGTGACAGGTCTGTCATCTCCATACAGGCCAGGCAAAAGAGAATCCCACACCATCCAGCTGGACTAAGACACTGTTAGAGATGCCACAGCCCCAATGAAGGGGTGGCCAGAGGCCCCCTAAAACCTGGGTGCCCCAGCCCTTACCCAGGGAGACGCAGATACCCCGCCTGGTGAGCTCCCGGATCACCTCACTGCTCCTCTTCATTTCAGGGGCCAGGGTCACTATCTGGACACAGTCCAGGGAGCCGTAGGTAGCAAGCAGGTCCTGGAAGGCACCTGCCTCAAAGGTGCGGAGGCAGTGCTCTGGGTGGGCACCCTTCTTCTCCTTGCTGATGAATGGCCCTTCCAGGTGGGCTCCTGTCCAAACAGGAACAAAGAACCATGACCCTTCCTCTTCCTGACAAGGACCAAGAAACCTGCTATGTCTACTCTGCTCCAGTCACACTCTTGCCATTTTTCTGCAGCAAAACACATGGCTCAGGCAACTGTGAGCTCAGGACAGTGAGGATGCAGTGCTAGCCCCTGGCCAAGCCAAGCTACCCTACTGCCATTGCCCCAGGAGCCCTCAATGGAGCTGGAGCAGTGTGTGTACAATGACAGAAAGTAAAGCAAAGGCCAGGCACAGCCTGAGGGACAAGGTCTGTGCCCACCTGTGCATCCCTCCCACTGAAAGTTCCAGCCCCTGTCTGTGCTCTGTAACTTCTTTCACTTCAACTGTGAACAAGATGATTTCTGACAAACAGTAGTACCACAGAGGGACAAATCCACTTACCCAGGATTCCTGCTCCATGGCCTCCACCATTTCTTACACTGATCTGAGGGAGCACCTAGAGAAAGGGGTTTGTCAGACATAGCAACCCAGACACAGCCCCCCAGTCTGCCAAATCAGACCCAAATGTCAGGCCCGCAGGGAGATTTGTAGCTGGAGAACTTGGGACCATCACAGCCCACAAAGGAAAAGCTATGTCCAAGCCTTGGTATACAGAGCTCACTTGGGAGACATGGCTGTCTCAGCATTCTAAAGGCTGAGGGCAAGAAACCCAGGGTAGAGTCCAGCTCCTCATGCCGACAGCTTTTCTGTCCTGGGCTATCCCAGGGCTGGCCCACCCTCCTTCTGATACCAACCTCAATCCCTGATCACCCTGCAGATGGGAGGGGAGAAGACCCCTTACCTGGTGGTACACAGATGGAGGAGAGGTCACCAGGGTGGGACAGAAAGAGGTCACTCCATGGGAGAGGATTTTCTGGCTGACCAGGTCAATACCTGATTTGAAGTCATCTGTTGCCAAAGAGAAGTCCACCCCAAAGCCTCCTGCACCACAAACAAAACAGGAGTGAAAACTGCAGCTTCCCCAGTGGGTGTGTTCCATACAGGAACACCAAAGAAAGACTTTGTGCGACTGGAGGGAAATGTTCCTTTTGTAGGGTGCTGACACAGAGGGCTCTACCAGCACTTCTGTCCTACATTCCAAGGTTCCACAAGTACAAATCTCACCATTGCTGCCACCCTGAAGTGCTCTTCCCCACAGCATCCCAGTGTTCTGCAAGCACAACCTTTTTATTTTGATGCAGGGCAAAATGTTACAATTCCCAGCTGAAAAGGGATCTGACTTCCAGCTTTAGCTACCATAGAACAAGCCCCTATTTCCTTCTGAAGAGAGCTATTGCAGTTAATTGTTATTGTTCCCTTGGGAAATCTTGCCCTCTCCTCCCACGTCCTGGAAAGGGTAGGACAGGCATCCTGCCAGCACAGGATAAAATACAGATAAAAATTACTGCAGTGGAAACTCTCACCTGGCCAAAGGGGATCACTTGCTGGACAGCAGCAACCACAGGCAAAGTTGCTCTTTGCCATTGGTTGGGTGACTCACACCTGCCTTGAGCAGCTGAAACATGGTCATGGGCAGGACACCTGCAGTGGGGCTGGGGGTCAGGGATGGACAAACCCGGGACACCCCCAGTCCGTGAGTGCATGTAGCTTCACTGTACCATTGATCTGGACATCGATGAAACCTGGGGCGATGATGCTGTCCTTGCAGTCCAGCTGGACATCAGCAGAGCCTTTCTCGTCAAAGAAGAGTTTCTCTGGGTTGAGGATCTTCCCCTCTCGTACCCACAGGTCCTCCCTGGAGGGACAGTCACACACACCAAGCTCTGGTGCCATCTGCAGCACCTGGAGCAGATTACCGTGCCCCAGTGACAGTGATCCTGGGCAGAGTGGATCCCACCAGCACCTCCTGCCAGAGCCTCTGCGATGTCTGCCATAGCACAGCTGCTCTTCGGGACACAGCGACCCTCTCTGCCTGGCTCTACAAAACTCAGGGGAACGGGATTTTCATGGGCTGCCCCTCAAAGGTGGTGGTGATGATAGCCAAAGCGCCAGAGAGCTGGCAGAGAGACAAAACGGCAGGGACCGTGCACCACACCCGTCCCATCTTCCCTCCAAAACCTGGCAAAGGTGACACGGGATGGTGGGAGCGCGGCGGGGTGAGGACCAACACACAGTGCACAAGGGGGAACTGGCGACCGTCCCACGGCACTGCAGGTGTCAGGTCAGGTCGGCAGCCCGTCTGGGAGCCCCCACACCCTTGGTATCCCCGCAGCCTTGGTGCCCACGGACACCACGATATCCCCGGACAGCCCTGGTACCGCCAGACATCACGATATCCCCAACAGCCCTGGTACCCCCAGCCACTCCGGTAGCGCCGGTACCCCCGCCTCACCTCTGGAGCTGGTGGTCCCTCAGGATGCGGCAGTTGGTGAACTGGACAATGGGCGCGTCCGAGACGGATTTGTTGGACGGCATCGCGGGGCAGAGGGAGCCGGCAGGAACCGCGAACCCCGCGGTG